ATGCATATGGTCCGAGGTTCTATCCCCTGCCGACGCACACCTGATATCTATGGTCGGCCTGCAAAATTTGGGCTACCGATATCCATTCTGAAAATTCCATACTTGTACTAAAAATACAGTGTGGAATAAAGCTGTAATCAAAAAAAAATATTCTAGCAATACCAGACCGGTGAATCCGTAATCTTGATCGATGGCTACAACTACAGTCAGGTAACCATATGCTTATAGGCAACACCAACTACAAATATGTGTATATATACAGGCATTGTCTTATTTAGCCACCAACGAACTGAACTAAACCTTCCACTCAGATGGATCATATCAGAATCAACCACAGTTCATGTGGGTCTATCTGTCTGTCTTTTTTTGGACACAGAACTTTGCACAGATGTGCGACAGTTCAAGCCGCCACACTCCCTCCTTATAGCACACAAACCAAGAGAGGAAAGTAAAAAGAGGTGCATAATAGAGACAGTAAACAAAGGTGTGAGACAAAAGGAATCGTAATAACGAAGAACAATATAGTTTCATTTGAAATCACAAGTCACAAGGAGTAGATGCATCGGCGTCAGCCACTAAGAACGATCACTTTGAGCTATATCACCGATTGTCTCCAGCCTCCACTGGTTTTTACCATCCCAAGGACCCCAACCAGTCAGGGAGTCTACACCTTCCTACGTGGCTGGCTGACTTCAACTAACTGTTGTGGATTTCATTGACTGATAAAGTCATGTTTTCGTTTGACCGCCGCTGGCTTTTTTGCAATCTAATCCATCCTATGTTAGCTAATATTGCCCATCGTGGAAGGCGATGGCTGGGCATACGTCGATTGATTTCCCCTCCTTACCTAACACTCGACCGAGGCCTCACCTCAATATTGCTCATCTTATCATACCACTCCACACAGGAGATAGATCGCAGGCAACTGTGATCAAAGACAGTTAGTTTTTTCATGTCATTCACTCTCAATGGCCAGGTCTCACAACTGGCCATAAGTGAGGACGGAGCAGACTGTTGGACAGTACAGACGCCCTTTGGTTGATAGCCAGCCGGATATCACGTATACGCCATTGACGGCGTAATTTGGCATATGAGGAACTAGCTCTCTGTATCCATGCTGAGAGAGATCAACCAGTTGGCGTTGGCTGATGGTACTTCCCAAATAAGTGAAGCTGTCAACGTGCTCTACCAGTGCAAGTGGGTTACTGAATGGTTGTTGATGCACCTTCTGGAGCACATTGTCATGTACTGACTGGACACTGGTCAGTGTACTCATATGTATGCGTGCGTGTATGTATGTATGTATAGATGAGCTTAAACAGATGCTACAAGAGAACAATCGACAACATCAAGATGGCATTTAAAAGTTCAGTGTTCGGTCAAACATCAGGAGGAGAATACAACAATTCTACTCATCCTGAGGATACTTAGCACTGTCTCATGTTTCTAGTTAAGAACAATCACTAATCAACACACTCAGATAAAAGTTACGAAGGATCAGTGGATTTCATCACCTCCTTACCAATTCACGTCTAAACAGGGAGCATTACTCCATAAACTACGCACAATGAACAGCAGACACACCTTCAACCTATACTCACTGAAGAGTCCCACACAACAATCGTAAACAATGGTGGACAGTGAGAGTTGAGCACATGGATAAGATAACAACTATAAGCAATAGTAGATACCTGTTTAGGCCTATCCAATCGGTCAACTGCCTCTTTCATCTGTAAGGCGATGGAGGATAGACAGATAGATAGATGGATCGAGCACTTTGAAGAAAAGTTCAACTGGCTCACAGTTACACTACAGCTACCCACCATCCATTCCCAGTATGAATTCAATACTTTAAGAGAAACGCTTTCAGAAGAGACCTTGTTTCCTGATGCACATTGTGATGATTCAGTAGTCTCCACCTTCACATTTGGTTAGTGTGACTTTAAAACTGGAACTTGAAATCCTATGCTCCATTCGGAACACAAATGATGATTTAGCAAAGACGATTTTATTCAGGTGTTAATTACATACTTTCAGTGAGTAGCATGGTTTACGAAATTCACTAACTAGCGCTACCTAGAAAAGTTGACTGATAGAATTCAGTCTGCAACAAAGAAACGACGAGACACGTCGTCACACTAGTTAGTAACTAGTGCCCAGTCAAAGTATCCAATACAGTCAGTCCTACAGAAGGTCGGTCAATCACGAGCCCGAATAGCTCAGTGGAGGGTTAACATCTCTGACTACAGGCACTGGGTGATACAGGTTCAAATCTCAGAGGACGGACATGAGTACCTTTCAGAGTGAAAATATGCCTTGCTGATTGGTGAGTGCCAAATAACACGGAGCCTGAATTCAAAGCTTCCTGTAGCCGATTGCCTCCAACCACCATCTAACATCAATAATTCAAAGAGCAATATAGCAAAAATATTCATTCAGACATCTATAGGAGACAAAATAATTGAGCAAAGAATATCCTTTTCGATAATTCCCCCCTCTTTCCGCTCTACTGTTATATATGCATGTTTATATGCATAGAATATTCTAGAAAAGTAGTCAATAAAAATATTAGTGTTTTTTTAAATAATAATATCGATTTGTTAAGTAAGACCACAATGGAATTACAGTTCATTAAAGACGCTTAAATAATAATAATACTAATGATAAAAATATAATAGCAAATAGAATATCAAATAAAATTAGGGAGATTTCCACAAACATTGAGGATCATTCGAAACCTAGATGGGCAAGGCAAGAACAATGTCTGAATTAACTTCTTTTCTACGCACAAATTAGGCTTCTTCATATGGATCCCAACGGCCAGCCTTAGCAATATTTAGTAGACGAACTCTTAAGGCGAAATTGAGATTTGTTGGTATGCAGTAATTGACTTTGAAAGCTCTCTCGTTGACATCAATCTTTTGTTCTGTATCCACAAGATGGGAAAGGATAGCGCTACGAATAGATTTTGTTTGTCCTTTACTTAACCAACCACTGTGCAGGGTGATGTTCCGAAATCCAACGAGAAACACGCCCAATTGTACGGCCTATGCAAGTAACTGGCTCACTCCACAGGAGCAGTTAAATTGGTAAATATACATGGAAGAGGCGAAATTAGGCAGTTTGTCTTTTACTCAGAGTGCACCAGGGTGGCGAACCGCCTATCACTATGGCTACTTAGCAAACTTTACCGGTAGAATTCAGTCTGCAGCAATCAAAAAAGGACTAGACACACATTACAACACCAGTTACTAAACAGTGTTGAATCGGGTCATTTTACTATTAAAGAATAAGCAGAAAGGAAAGACTACACCAGAATGCAGCAGACTTTATTATTATTAGATCCACATGAAAAAATATCTCAGAAGCAGAAAAACATCGTGAATGCTTTTCAGAAGTCAATTCAAGGTTTTATATGAACTAAAGGCAATGGAGCTATCATTGAATTCACGGGATTACCTATATATTGAACCTTTATATAAATGCTTAAATATACGTTCCCTGCACGTTTCTCGACTTCACTTCTGCTTTTGACTCTGTACCTAGGTGTCTCTTGCTAAATAAGCTCTCTATGACACAAACTGAGTCCAGGGCCAAAAACTGGTTGCATTCCTACTTTTCAAACAGAATGCAGTACACTGTATACAAAGGTAAATCCTCCTCTGCTGTGCTCACTGAAGCTGGTGTCCCCCGAAGGGGCTGTACTCTCCCCACTTCTCTTTTCTTTCTTTCTTTCTGCATGGCTTACCACCTCCAAATGACATTAATTTTGTTAAACATGCTGACGACCTGAATGTATCTTTGCCTGTCAAATGTCAAAGTGACTGCTTCAAAATAAATAGCTTTTTATCATAAATCAGCCAGTGGTCCAAGGAAAACGGTCTAACCTTAAATCCCTCTAAATGTCAAACAGTCAATTTCACCTTTAGGCATAAATCTGACCTAATCGAACTGGTGGTTAGCACTCACGAGGGGTGCAACATACATGGCACTGAAATACAAACCAAGTCAGAAATTAAATACCCAGGCGTCATTCTATCTGCTGATCTTTCCTGGTCGTCTCATATCTTGATGATTTCTAAGAAAATATTCCGCCTTACCTTCTACATCAAGAAGTTAAGACATTCTGGAATAACCCAACTCAACCCTTACTCCTAAGATTCGTTAACTCTTGCATCCTACCTATTATTCTCTATTGTTCCCCTTAGTAATTCCAGGACTACTGAAGAAAGACTATGTCTTATTACGCAGGATGTTAAAGGTTGTCAGCAGGGTAAGCAGTTTGTCACTTAGCCAGCTCGTTAATATTCTGGTGGACAGGCACATGGACTCATGTGAAAAATGGGCAAAATCCATTTTATCTAACACCACCCTTGTATCTTATCATGCTGAACCAGAAGGCTATATAGAAAACTTTATGCTCGCTCTAGCAAGTACAAAAACTCAACCATACCCTACTTAGCTCGTGTTCCGTGCGACAAATGAAGCATCAGGCGTGAAACTGATAACTTATTAAATAGTCAGTAAAACAACTGGATCTCGTCTTTCCAACTCATATAATTTATAGGTACAACGTTTTCTGTCTTTCTTTTCCTTTTCTCTCTCTCTTTGTTATGTGCTGTTTTGTTTCTTTCTTCCTTACAAACTCTACTTCAAACATTCTTCTTCGTTCTCTCACACTCTGTATATCTCGACCATTTTGTTACCGCTAACGCCAGTAAATATGCTACCATCTACTTTTCTAACACCTGCAAACAGTCTGTTCACTTTTGGCTTTGCTACCGATGTGCCGATATGTTGTTGTCAAAACGAACTGAGATTACCTTTAATCTCTGTAGAATTTTATTTATTGTTAATGTACTAACTGGATGCAATACTGTAGTGAAATGCTGAGAATTCCACTCTGTACTACAAGTACGGTTTGGGAATAAAACAAATTATATATATATATATATATATATATATATAATATATATATATATATATATATATATACTCACCTGACAAAATCAGCCGGTACTGGAGCACTTACAAATGAAGCCATTGGTTTACAATGTACTTCAGTGAACATTGCCAAAATGTCAGGTGATCGTGTTATCATTTCAGATCGAGTGGCAACATCTAATTCAGATTGAACGTCTTGTAAAAGAGTTTCTAATAGTTCTATTTCCTGGAGAAGAAGACGAAGAAGAAAAAGTAGTTGAAATATTTCAATTAGGTGATTGCAGAAAATGTATTCTACATGTATTTTAGCTTAGTGTGTTAACAGTTCACTGTAGGCTGACAAATGAACAGATTTCTATTGTAACACTGGGCGCATATAAGTGAGTTTCAGTAATACATTTGCTGTTTGTAGTCCAGTAAACCTTTTCATCTGTAGCGCATCCGTGCAGCTTATTTCAGTTTATCGCCTACAGTTACCGAGGCATAACTGACAGGATTTTTAATTTTTTGTTTTAGAAATTGTATTCCTTTACATTCCCAGTGGAACATTGGGTTTCGAACTAGACGCTTGAAATCCCAGTAGCAGTGGCGTTCATTTTCATTACGTCCAGAACAATCCTCCCTCTTTATTAGTCTTAGTATTATCGACTTGGAGAGGTAAGGGAGTGCGTCGGTGGGGCTAGGGATCAAACACGCCGAATCACATTCGTGGTTCGTTGTGCCACCTACGTACTACTAACTGAAAGCATAAAGCAACCATTTTACTCCAAAAGCAATCGTCATCACTTTGTCTTCAGAGGCTTGTGGTTACACTAATTTGTAATAATTATGTGGATATTCACGTGTTGATTCGTCGGGATTCGATTGTATGTTTACAGGATTTAATCGTGAGCTGACATCGGTTAGAGAACTATTAGGAAACCAGGGAGTGCTGTACAGCCATTGCGTCCAAGTTTGGGACTTCTCGTCAGTACGACGCACCAATCACAGGGAGTTGAACCCAGGACATTCTGGTTAAAAGGCAAGCTAGCTCGTAGACGATCCAGCCACTGGAAACCGACCCAATGGCCAGCCCATGAATTCTAACTTCTGCCAGCGAATTCACGACATAGCGCGACTACTAGCCCGGCCTGCTGTACCTCACTGGTCGCGCCATCCCATTTATTATCTGATAAATAGGGAATATGCTATAGTCAGCTTAGAAAGCACCCGACATATTCTTTATTGAAGTTGAAGACTTCAAGATTTGATGCACAATTTAAAGAATCGGCATATTATTCTATAGTGATTTAGTCTAATCGATTCACAATGGCTATACATATCAGCACATTTTTTCATACCACCACTGAAATGAATAATTAAGTCTTAGCTTACAAAAAGCTGAGTTCATTGGTCGAATCCTTGACAGCCTTACAGGGCTCGATTCCCTGCCAAGGCACTTCTCTTACTCGCTTAGTTGTTGCTAAACCCCAGTAATAGAGGTTGTGTGTTGTGCTAGCAATTCTATTCTGTGAATAGAACAACACTACCAAGACTACTGAAACTTCAAAGCTCAGAGACTTGAAGACAACTAACTGCCTATATATTCTACTCGGAATGCAAAGGAATGGAACAAAAGAAGAACAAAAAAGAAGTCTACAGAGACAAATTGAATCCACTCACCTGAAATAATCGACTACGCTGAATCATCAGTGTTACTAATTTTGCTTTTAACTGGGAATCCAAACGAGCCACCATTAATTCCACAGCATTACGTAATTCTCGAACACGTTCTTCTTTAGCTTGTTTAACAGCTTGTACATTTTTCTCCTATTATCATCATCAAATGAGACAGATGAAAGTAATAGTCAATAACTTGAGAAAAGTCGACTTCAGTCAATGATAAGGAATAATCTTTAGTGTGAATTTCACACTATCAAATAATCTTTAGCATAGGTAGGTTTTCTTTACAAACAATAAACCAGACAATCGAATCAGTGACCGACTGTACAAACTGTTAATTGGTATCCAACATATATATATATATATATATATATATATGGTGTATATACTGTACAACTTGGTTACGAGAAAGCTTACTTATGTCAACAACTGTGAATTCACATAAATTGTGCTGATAAAGGGAGGAAAGCCACTAAGTAGGCCTTCGATTCGATGGACAGAACTATTCTCTGGAAATATTTGTTAGAGGAGAGGCGTGGACCTGAGAAGTTTGTTTATATCCGGAAAGCCCTCTATAGAGAAATACCTCAGGTAGAATGAGGGCGTACAACCAGTTTGGATCACTGTTCCCAACTAACAGTGGAGTTAGACAGGGTTGCCCGATCTCTCCATTTCTCTTTAACTTTGCCATCGATGACATTCCTCTGGAGTCAGCTTTGAAGGATGTCAGTGGTGCTAATATAGATCTGTTTCCTGAAGAAAGACGTTCTTGATCTCCAATACGCAAACGATAACGTATCACTGTGAGACAGCATGCAGGCTACCGAAATCGCACTTGGTCAGTTGCTGATTAGTAGACGTAGGCATGGTATGTGCTTTGCACTATCTAAGTGCAAAGTACCGTTAACAGGTTGGCGGCAGCCTGTACCTTCATTCATTCTTGTAAGTGAACTACTTGATGTTGTCAGCAGGTTCGTGTGTTTGGGTAGTTGAGTGCTGAAGGAGGTAAGACGGACGAGATTTCTAAGCATATCGTGAAACCTAGAGTGAAATACGCCAATTTCAGCCACATCTGGAGCCGACACAACGTTAGCCTGCCTGCCAAATGTCGGGTTTACAATGCTTCGGTACGTGCAGGTCTCGCTGTACCCCTGTGACGCCCAGCCTTTTCCTAGATGAGGGTAAGCGGCGACTCTTCCTATTCGATAATCTCTCTGTCACCGTAGAACTGTTTGCTTTCGTTGGCATTTTCGTGTGAGTAATTCGGGAGTCAGGCAACGTGTGTCTGGAAACATTGGAGATAGCCATTCATTGAGTGCCGTCTTCTGGGAGTACCAGTTTCAGTGGCTTACAAATGTGCTATGAACTTCATCCCAGAGGCTTACGTAATGGTTTATGTTCGCTAGCCCTAGGACTGGTTGGAAAGAGCGGAGAGGTTTCCAACCTATGACATGCCCATATGGGATGAAGGATGTTTGCGTTAGGTAAGCATCGGTTGGCGTTCGAGAGACAATTAGAGTCTGTGGCTGGAAACATTATCAGATATGGCCAAGAAATGCGACCAATGGCAAACGTACTGCAATTTCCATCTTTCTTCCATTTTTGACAGGAAATGCTGTTTCTCCTTGTTAAATGTAGTCGCTTCCTTTCTGGATGAAGTCCTTTATTCATTCTCTCCCTATCTGCCTATGCATTGTTTTATTATTATTATTATTACTATTATATGGTCCATCTTCTTGATGCCTATACTGTACCAGGTTCTGTGTTTCAAATAAATAATAGACAAATTGATTGCGACAGTTATGACTGAAACAAAATAGTTGAGGTACAGAGTGAATTATTAACCTAGTCACTAATCCTATCATTCACAATTAGACCCTTTATGAGCTTTCAGATAAGCTGTTGTCAGTACATTGCTTCAGTTCCTAGAGAAACATAGGACTTCAGCCAAACGTGGCTATTACATTCGGTTCTATACCAACGTTTTCACCTGACTACACGTCTGCGCGCATGCTTTCATCACCCCTTCGCATCACTTCTTCATATCAACCTCACACTGACGACCAACTCCCCACTTACCATTCAGCCAGGTTCCACTCGACCGAAGGCCTGGCGTGTGATGTCACTCACTTGATGGTTTTTTTCTCTCAGAGTATGGCCAATCCACCTTCATTTCTTTCTACACACTTTGTGTAATTGGTTCCTGCTGAGTTGGTTCGCTGCAAGAGATCCCACTCTGTTGCTGATCTTCCTCGGCCGACCATCTGATCTTGAGTAGTATTGAGCGAAGACAGCTCCTGATGAAGGTCTGTAGTTTGTTCGAAGTGCCCTCCTTCATGACGCACACTGCAAGTCCTGGTCCGTATAGTAAATACCACTGACTTCACATCGGAGTTGAAAATCCGGATGTTATTACATTCATGGTGAATGCTGTTGACCTACACACAGACTTGAGAGAAATGAAAGCTTGTCTTGCTTTCCTGATCCTTGCTTTGATATCTTCGTCAGTTCCACCCGCCTGTAGTTGAAACGATGCTTCCCATGTAGGTAGGTAGGTAAAGGAGGTTGTTTCTTTCAGGTTCCTCCCATTTATGCTGGCTGATTGTTGTCTTTTGTTGTCGTTGCTGTTGTTGGTGTGTTGGCCAGGAATCTTCATCACCACATCTGTTTTCTCTATCTTCCTCCAAGTCCTATCTCTTCTGGATGCTTCTTCTGCCAACTTATTGCTTCCCAGTTTGTGGGAAATCAGAAATATATCATCGGCGAAGTCCAGATTCTCCAGGTTCTTTTTTTGTATGGGTCCATTTTATGCCTGTTTCCTTGTTACCCGTCATCTGTCTATCGCATTATCCAGTCTACCGCAATCAGGAAAAACATTGGAGATAGAAGACAGCCAGCTTGTTTTACTCCCGTCTTCACTTATAAGGCTTCCGTGAGTTTTCTGTTGTGGATTACTTGGTATGCAGCAGTATCGTATAACTGTTGGATGAGATGTATACTTGTTGGCGACACACCGTAGAAATCATCAAATCACCTCTCGATCGACGATTTCTGCTGAAGGCCTTTTCAAAGTCGATGAAGTTGAAATAGGTAGCTGACTGCCATTCCAAGCTCTGTTCAATGATAGATAATACGTAGTGTTGCGATTTGATCAATGCATGCAGCTGTTGTCAGTCAGTAGACACACTTTAAGCATACCTCCTTGTACTATATCTGTATATGACACAACAAAGAAAAACTGTGTATGCGTATGTTTACTTTGGATTAGCACAAGCTGGGTGATAGATCTGAACGTGTAAAAACACTAACAAATGAGCATTAACTGATATCAATCAGGGATTATAGAATACTCATTTCGCTTGGTTTTGTCATCTGTTAGAAATACAAACACTTGTATCATTTATTATAAGAAGCTTAAACCTAGTAGACTAATTTCATTGTAATAAACCGCATGCTAATTATTTTCGAAATAAGTGTTTGTGTGAAGACAAAGGGACACTGTTACACACAATAGAACTAAGGGAATACCAACAATACCTAGGCATTAAAGCTTAGCCCCTTTGATAACGATCATAGTTACTACAATTTTATTCATACATTTGTCTGAAATGGACCAATTTTAGTTAAACATATATCAATTAATGATAGTAACGCTTCACGTAGTCCTCTATAATACGTCAGGCATTAATTATGATTTATGTTTAAAACCTCATAAAGAAACAGATAAAGTGGCATATCACGGAGAGTGCACATACAGTCTGTCTGCCTGTGTGTTTTCGACATAGAACTTTGCACATATAGGCGCCAGTTCAAGTCGCCACAATCGCTCCTTGTAGCACACAAAGTAAGAGAAGAAAGTAAAAAGAAATGCGAAATAAAGACAGTAAACAGAGGTGTGAGACAAAGGAATAGTAGTAACGAAGAACAACATAGTTTAATTGGAAATCATAAGTCACAGGGAGTGGATTCATCTGCGCCACTGAGAACGATCACTTTGAGTCATGTCACCAATTGTAGTGCGTATACATGGCACATGTATATGTGAATATAGTGCATATACATGCCATTCAACACTAAAATACTGCTTAATCTATGACAACATTGAGAAAAAAAACATATCAGCAAGTGCTTTGCCTTTGGTTTAAACACAAGAAAATGCCTTGATTTTAATAAACACATATCACTAACCTGTTTTCAGCTAGCAGTGTCTACTTAACTCTACAAGATTATGTGCGACTAATACAAACGAATTTCAGCACATTGACAAAACGTTCAATATCAAACCAAGAATTGGTTGTTCAAATTCTTTACAACAATGTTTTACTATAATTAATAATATTATCATTATTCTCCCTGAGTTCTGAGTGGAGCATGGGGCTGGCTTCAACAACACATCTCCACTTTGTTCTATTCTATGCCGTCGTCTTCAGCTGTCTGACCCCACAACTGTCCATAATCTCTCATCTCCTACTCCCCACACGATTTCTTCCATGTCATCCTAGCAGCGACGTCCTCCTAGTTGCTTCACATTCGGCTTTCACTCGAGCAACGGCTTGCACTGTGCGCGATGTCATCCGACTGTCTCCTCAATGTATGCCCGATCCATTTCTATTTTCTCCTACATATTTGTTGAGCGATCGGCTCTTTGTTCCGCTGCATAGTTTCTTGTTACTTATTCTTTCTAGCCAGTTGGCCATTGGATCTTCAGTATGGTCTTATGTTAAATCCTTCCAAATGTCAGGCACTTGACTTTACTTTCAAGCATCGACGTGACTTACATGAACTTGCTAGTTTGCATGATGCCTGTAGCATAGATGGCACGGAAATTGAAACCAAGTCAAGCATTAAATACCTTGGATTAGTTCTTTCCTCTCACCTTTCATGGTCATCCCACATCTTATCTATCTCTAAGAAAATGTTTCGTCTTACCTTCTACATTAAAAAGTTAAGACAATCAGGTATCAACCAACCTTTAGTTTTGCAATTTTTAAACTCCTGTATCTTACCTATTGTACTCTATTGCTCTCCATTAATCTTTCCTGGGCTCCTCAAAAAAGACTATATCATATTACGAAGAGTATCAAATACTGTGAGTAGTGCTTGTGGTCTGCCACTGCATGAGCTCGCTAATACTATAGTCGAGAGGC